CCGCGGAGGAGCGGATCGGGTCCGTGCATGAGGAGAAGGAGGAGGGTGAGGGAAGACGGTGAACGATAGAGAGGATTCGGCGATGAAGTGTGAGCTTATTAAGAACGAGCATTCAGCGGCTGGTCTGCGATGGAGTTTCGGGCCTTCACTTTTTTAGTTTTGTTTCGAACGTTAGTCCCTAAGGCTAAGATCCTCCGAAAGTAGTCCCTCAAATTATTGAAATTGCTATCAGGTCCCTCCACGGTTAAGCTATTGTGAATTTGTCCCTCAAATCATTGAATTTTGTACTATGTTCCCCAATTTATGAGTTACTTTGCGATTAATCTCACAGTTCAAGAGTAGAAGTAGCAATTAGAAGAAGTTAGTCACTTAAAGCATCATAATTTTTATTGAGTCACCGTATTCTCATAAGTTATTTCAAATTAATCATTCTGATTGCTAAATTTGCTATTGATTTGAGAGACAAATTTAAAAATAACTTACCAATTGAGAGATAAATTTGCTAAATTAGTCACACCTTCGTTGGAAGGAATGAAGAATGTGAAGTCGGTGCGAGGCAAAATGCTCACCAAGCCTTTGCTTGATGTTTGCAAGCTCTTTACACCAGTCATCGGTAATGTTACTAGCTAGTTTCTTTTCCTTTTCTAGGTAAATTGTATTTTTGTTACAGGACTATTTAATTGCTCTACTTGCCAAAATTCACGAAAAGGTACTCATCACATTGGATTAATATTGTCGACAGTTTTCATACATGCATGTTAGTGCATATTAGATAAAACTAATCGCCTAAATCCAACGGTACTCAATTAATTTCTTCAACCATCTCTGAAGTGTAGTTGGGTAAATTCATCAGGCCAATTAACCGCGTGCATAAGTATATTTAGAATGACAATGTATTTTATCTAATGCTAGAGGCTACAACTGTTGGTCTTGACAGTGGAGACCCAAACCTAGAATCAAAATCAACAATCACATGAAAATAAACAAGACGGACGTACTCCACCACACTCTGGTGTGTTGTCTGCCACACCCATGTGACAGGATGTGACAGAATCTGTCCTGTTTGTCATGGGTGTGGTATCTGCCACACCCTGGTATGGCAGAATCTGCCCCATTTGTCATGGGTGTGGTGTGCGCCACACCCGGGTGTGGCAGACTCGTTTTAGAATCCTAATCTGTTTGGGATTGTGTTTTGTTATAAATAGAAACACGTCCCTCTAGGGTTTAGGAGAGAAAAAGAACACGAAAAAGAGGGTTTTGAGGGCTCTTTGAGATCAGAAATCTTAGAGAGAGAGAGAGGCCAATTGCAAGCATTGTAATCTTCTTCAATTAATGAAAGAATTGTGTGGTGTGGCTCCCGAGGACGTAGGCACGTTGCCGAACCTCGTTAAATCTGGTGTGTTCTTTCTTATTTACCTTCCTACAAGTTTTTATCTTTGATTTGTGGTGAATTTCTTTCTTGCTCAAAGTTCTAACTTCTGATCTTGAAGCAAACAAACCCTGGCTTGCTAACACTACGGGAGATGCAACTAGGCCAAAGTTTGATCCGTGTCCGTACAAAAGTGGGCCACGTACAAAAGCGGTGGGGGCATTTGGTGCCCTCTCTGACACGGTAGCAGAGCTCCATATCACCTTGATTGGAGGAGAACCGGTTGTACTCTTCACTATTGATGAACTTCAGCTTGCAAAAGATGTTTTCAAGGATGCTATATTGTGATTAAATTCCTTTCTGGTAGACCTACATGAGAAGACTGTCACTCCGCTGTAAATCCATGGGGATTGAAGCAAGAGTTCATCAAGCGTAGTAAGATGTAAATTGTCTTATTTCTTTTCTATTGTTTTGTGAGAATTTATATGTAAGTGTTTCTAAAGTGTACTTGAACTTTAATGTGTAGGCAGTCCAGAGCTTACATTGGTTGGTCATATGCAGAGTATTCCACCAGCTGGGAGATACAAGATGATCGACTGTGACAGATCGTCGTGCGGGGCGGTTTCCTTGGTTCTTCTGAAGTGTGATGGATCAAGCTTGACTGGGTTTCCTTGGTTCTTCTGAAGTGTGATGGATCAAGCTTGACTGGGCCCTAATCTGTGCTTTGATTGATAGATGGAGGCCAGAAACTAATACCTTCCATATGTGTATAGAGGAGTGCACTGTTACACTAGAGGATGTATTAGACATACTTAGATTCCAAATGAACAAGAATAACCTGATTTGTCCAATACAGAAACAGAAACCAAATTCCGTCTAAAAGACGGTACTACAAAAGTATCTTTTAAATCCAAATAATAACCAGTTCCTAACAACAACCTAAAGTGCCCAATTGCTTCCACATCTACCGATTGTCCGTCGCCCACAAAGATGTGTCTTTCAACATCACTTGGCTTTCGGTAGGTCAGGCAACCCTGCATAGAAACACTTATGTGAGTAGTAGCACCAGAGTCTAACCACCAAGTGTTTCTAGGTACTGAAGCTAAATTAACCTCAGAACAGACCAAAGCAAGGAACGTACCCTTATTGTCACGCCAGGCGTGATATTTTGTACAGTCCTTCTTTACATGTCCAGGCTTCTTACAGAAGAAACAACCCTAATTATCCTTATGTTGTTTCTTCTCAACTGGACCCTTAGCAGCTTCCTTATCATTCTTCATTTTCTTGCCCTTATCCTTAGAGGCATAGGCTAAATGAGCACTTTCTGTCTTATCTTGCTTCAACCTGTCTTCTTCTTGCACACAGTATGAAATGAGCTCATTAAGAGTCCATTTCTCCTTTTGGCAGTTATAACTGACCTTAAACTGATTGAATTGTGCAGGAAGAGACAACAAAACCAGATGCACTAATAACTCGTCACAAAGATCGAGTTTAAGTGCCTTAAGCTTTGAAGCAATATGAGACATTTCCATAATGTACTCCCTGATATTTCCTTTGCCCTTATACTTCATTGAAATCAAGCGAGCTAAAAGCGTGCTTGTTTCTACCTTATCGTTTTTCGCAAAACGCTTCTCAATTTCGGCAAGGAAATCTTTAGCCTTAGTAATCCCTTCGGATTCTATGCCCCTGAAGGCTTCTGGAACGCCGCGCTTAATGATCATAAGACTCATGCGATTTGAACGCTCCCACTTCTCATGCTCCTTCTTTGCATCAGGAGTGCTATCCGCATTGAGAGGTTGGGGTTGTTCAGTTCTTAATGCATAGTCAAGATCCATGCAGCCAAGAACAATTAATATGTTCTCTTTCCAAACCTTGAAGTTTGTCCCATTTAGCATGGGAATTGAGTTGATGTTAGCAGAAATTGTTGCAGCAGATGCATTAGCTGAAATAAAACAAAAGAAGCTCACATCAATAACCATAATCAATATCATTCAAATAATGACAGTCCCCATCCAAGATATCGGGCACAACATTAATATCAAGTCTTTGGACAGTAATATTAACTTGTAAGTGATACCTTGTTGCAATGATCAAACATTGACAATAACTCATGTCAAATAATGAAACTATCTTTGGATCGATTCATTATTCACATGTAAACCTTATAATTGTCACACGCTTATCATCGCAGATGTGTATACAGTCTAAATAAATATTAACCTTCCTTTGGGCCGATTAAATATTTACACGAAAGCATACACACAGACATCTCACATTCCTCATGAACAATCTACACAAGAGAGGTTACTTTGGCAACTTCTTGTTTCAATTAATCAATTAGAGTGAGAGACAACCTTAATACCTTAGTGTCATAATATTTGAATTAAATAATTGATTAAAAAACCGAAATAAATTTAAATTAAAAATTTAATTTAAATCAACTGAATTTCCAAAAAACTTAATTGGGGTCTCACAGCTTAATTAGGGCCCATAACTTAATTAAATAAATTAAGTATACCAAAATGGACCCATGAAAAGCCGAGGCTTAACCATAATGAACACGAAGTTCCCTTAACTTCGAACGCAAGGTTCGACTGTATTGAGTACGAGACTCACTTAAGTACGAACGCAAGGTTCGTTTGAAAAATGAACGCAAAGTTCAACCTGAGCACGAACGCAATGTTCGACCTGAGAACGAACGCAAAGTTCGTTAAAAAATGAACGCAGAGTTCAACCTGAGTACGAACGCAATGTTCGACCTGAGAACGAACGCAAGGTTCGTTTAAAAAAATGAACGCAGAGTTCAACCTGAGCACGAACGCAAAGTTCGTTAAAAAATGAACGCAGAGTTCAACCTGAGTACAAACGCAATGTTCGACCTGAGAACGAACGCAAGGTTCGTTTAAAAAAAATGAACGCAGAGTTCAACCTGAGTACGAACGCAATGTTCGACCTGAGAACGAACGCAAAGTTCGTTAAAAAATGAACGCAGAGTTCAACCTGAGAACGAACGCAAAGGTCGTTAAAAATTGAACGCAGAGTTCAACCTGAGTACGAACGCAATGTTCGACCTGAGAACGAACGCAAAGTTCGTTAAAAAATGAACCCAGGGTTCAACCTGGAAACGAACGCAAAGTTCGTTAAAAAATGAACGCAAAGTTCAACCTGAGAACGAACGCAAAGTTCGTTAAAATTGAACGCAGAGTTCATCCTTGAGTACGAACGCAATGTTCGACCTGAGAACGAACGCAAAGTTCGTTAAAAAAATGAACGCAGAGTTCAACCTGAGAACGAACGCAAAGTTCGTTAAAAATGAACGCAAAGTTCAACCTGAGAACGAACGCAAAGTTCGTTAAAAATTGAACGCAGAGTTCATCCTTGGAACGAACGCAAAGTTCGTTTGAGGTAACCACCTCCTCAATTTTCGCCATGAACCCTTAGGGTTTCAAACTGAAATCGCCGCCGTCAAACCCAAGAATCTTTGATTTTTATTTTTCAAAACAGATCCAGAATTGGAAAAAATTGAAGAAAAAATCAAAGAAAAGGCCAAAAAATTCCAAAAGTTACTGTTCACCGGCGATTTTTTCAGTTACTGTTCATCCGAAAAACAACTTTACT